GGGGGGGGAGGAGAAGTGGGGGGTGCTGCTTGCCAGGAGCCCTAGTGTCAGAGGGTTCACATTCTAGGGGAACTGCATTTGAAAGAAAGAAGAACATTTGGGGAATGGAATGAGGAGGGCAGAACCCAGGGCAGGCAGGAGAGACGTGCATTCTCAGGGCATGCTGATTGAAGACCCACCCATCACTGAACTGAGGTATAGAAGTCTGCCTATCTGCCTGATCAGAGGTTCTCCAGGGTGGAAGAAATGATAAGGGTCCCCTTTGATTTTATCTGGGCCTCTAAGCAAGTCATCCTTTTCCTGGTCACCCAAATGTAGTTCTTGTCAGTACCTCTTCTCATCCTGGCTGGGTTCTGGAGGACTGGCACTGCCCACAAGGTCTGAGGAGGCCTCCTTCTCCTCTTCTTTCAGGCTAGAAACTGAGTCAGAAGGAAATATTAATGAGCACATATCAGTGTTAGGGTCTGTGGGACTAGGAGTGTGGGTCTGAGGAAAGAGAAGCTTGGGATGTTCCTTCTCGAGGGTTAGGGACCAGCACTGGCTCATCATGTCTGTTAAGTGCCATCAAATGGATTCCATTGGCACAGACTAGAACTGCCCCATTGGGCTTTCTAGGATCATAGTCTTTAGAGAGCCCTATCTTGAGGTCGTTCTCCCATCGAACTGCTGTGGGGTTCAAAGCACGACCACAGCAGGAACCGGAGATGCTGTGGTCCACATCTTGCTGCTGCCTCTCAGGCCACCTAGAACAAACCTCCCTGAAGAAAACTGACTGAGCTGTTCCCACTATCTCGCTGGCAGTTAGGTTCCACTTGCCTGCCCGAACACCCATCTTCTACACCCGTTGAAAACAAGGTTGAAAATATTGGTTTCCATATTGGTGAGACTATTTCCATTTCTGAAACTGAATGAGATAAAACAGCTCAGGAATCAAATGCACACTGCCTCTGGGCGAGGCACATACTTACCACTAGAGGTTAATAAAAATATAAAAATTAAATAAGATTAATTCATTATACCCATTCCAAGAATCAAAAACTGAAAACTATAAAAAATGAATTCCAATTTCTATGCCGAAATTGCACTTCGTCAAAAGCATTCCTAAGTAAAGAACAGATAGCATAAAGTATGCTGAAAATACTGGAAGAAGAGCCCAGAACATGGCGTGGGGAAGCAGACTGGCCTTCCTGTGGGGAAGCCAGCTTCTCTGGGGGTCAGGAGAATTGGGCACTGTGTGGCTAACTTATCGCAGGCTTCCCGAACAGTAAGGTTTCCGTTCTCTGCAGCATTGGGGAAAGCATGTCTCCTCCCAGTGTTTTCCTCCAGGGGCCTCTGCCCTCCAAGGGTCCCTACGCCCAGGGCCCTGGCCACTAAGAGGTCCTCACTCCCCAGGGGCTCAAGAGCCCAGGCACCCAGAGGGGAACCCGAGGGTATAACTAGATGAAAACTCACCAGTAGGGAGAATCTCCAGAATCACTCGGTGCACAGTCTGCGGCCCGGAGGCTCCCTCTACCACACAGCCATACTCGCCCGCATCCTCCTCCTCCAAGTTGACCATCTCCACCTGGAGCAGGCCCCCACCCAGGTCAGTGAGAAATGGGTGCCTGCCTCCTGACACTCTGCGGTCCACTGCCGAGGACACCACAGGCTGGCAGCCCTCCGGCATGAACCGGCACCACACCTTCCGAGCCTTGCTGTCTTGGAGTCGGTAGTGGCACTGCACCACAATGGAGCCCCCCAGGGACGCCTGCAGCACCTCAGGGAGGCTGTACACTGAGCTCTGACCTAGGGAAGGAAAGAAAGCGGGGATGCTGGGCAGGCGCTGAGGACACTGGTCCCTAGCTGCCTGCTCACCGATGTCCCTGGGCAGGGGACTGAGAATATAGGGCCCAAAAGGCCTTACCTCCTAAGCCTTACCTGCCGGTATCAGGAGCAGCAGCAGGAGCAAGTTGGGGCCCATGGCTGGGCACGGCGAGGTCAGCTCTGAGGCTTGCCTGGGCAGTGACATGGCACTCCTCTGAGGACAGGAAACATCTGCTACAATCTGTCACATGACCATGGACTAGTGGGCACCTCAGTGGGTGTGGTGGGGGTGGTCAAGGAGTGCCTTTCCAATTCACTGCTGACCTTGGGGGCAGGGGTGGCAAGGCAGCGTGAGAAGCCTGGAAACCCAGGGACCTGGGACCCTGGGAAAGGAGGAGGTGGAAGGAAGATGGTGGCACCTGGAGGACAATAGAGAAAGAGGAAAGTTTATCTTTGTTGTTCTTGTTAAGTGCTCTCAAGTCGGTTCTGACTCATAGTGACCCTGTATAGGGTTTCTGAGGAGCAGCTGGTAGGTTTGAACTTCTGACCTTGTGGTTCCCAGTCCAGTGCTGTTCCACAACACCACTTCCAAATACAAAGATGAGACACAAAGCTGTGAGGGAGGAGGGAGAGGCCCCCTCCCTGTGGCCCAAGGGCATTCGGATTCTAAACTCTTTTTGTGTGACCCCCTGCCCCCACACCAAGCTTTCAGGAGTTTGTCTCTCTGCCTGCAATCTCACAAGAGGACGATCCACCTGGATCATGGGCCCTACGCTGGATCTTTTCATTTATTACGCTGGGCACTTTTTACTAAACAGTTGCCATAGCATGTGAACATGTAAGCATATAAACATTGCAATCCTATGTGTGTGAGAGTAGAGCTGTGCTCCATAGGGTTTTCCATGGCTAATGGTTCTAGAGAAGTCCTGGTGTGGTGCTGTAGGATAAGCACTCACCTCAAGGTCAGTTTGAACCTCAAGGTCGGCAGTTCAAACTCACCAGCCACTCCTCAGAAACCCTATACAGGGTTGCTATGGGTTGGAATCGACTCAA